TGATAAAATAAAGGAAATATTACAATATGGGTATCGAATTAAAGAGGTTTCGGAAAGATGGCTGTTGGAAATATTTTTGAGGGTTGCCACCAATTTGAAAATTTTAACTTAGTTAAATTGATAAAGTAAATGAAATATTGCTATGTGGGTATCAAAGTAAAGAGATTTAAGAAGACTTACGGCAGAAAATATGTTTGAGGAGGGTTACCACCTGGTTGAAAATCTAACTCAATTTAATTAATAAAATAAATGACATATTACAATAGAAAGATGACTGCAGGAAATATTTTTGAGGAGGTCTGCCACCTATTTGAAAATTTTAACTCAGTTAAATTGATAAAATATGTTTGAGGAGGGCTGCCACCTGTTTGAAAATTTAACTAAATTACATTGATAAAATAAAGGAAATATTACAATATGGGTATCGAATTAAAGAGGTTTCGGAAAGATGGCTGTTGGAAATATTTTTGAGGGTTGCCACCAATTTGAAAATTTTAACTTAGTTAAATTGATAAAGTAAATGAAATATTGCTATGTGGGTATCAAAGTAAAGAGATTTAAGAAGACTTACGGCAGAAAATATGTTTGAGGAGGGTTACCACCTGGTTGAAAATCTAACTCAATTTAATTAATAAAATAAATGACATATTACAATAGAAAGATGACTGCAGGAAATATTTTTGAGGAGGTCTGCCACCTATTTGAAAATTTTAACTCAGTTAAATTGATAAAATATGTTTGAGGAGGGTTGCCACCTGTTTGAAAATTTAACTAAATTACATTGATAAAATAAAGGAAATATTACAATATGGGTATCGAATTAAAGAGGTTTCAGAAAGATGGCTGTTGGAAATATTTTTGAGGGTTGCCACCAATTTGAAAATTTTAACTTAGTTAAATTGATAAAGTAAATAAAATATTGCTATGTGGGTATCAAAGTAAAGATATTTAAGAAGGCTTACGGCAGAAAATATGTTTGAGGAGGGTTACCACCTGGTTCAAAATCTAACTCAATTTAATTAATAAAATAAATGACATATTACAATAGAAATATGACTGTAGGAAATATTTTTGAGGAGGTCTGCCACCTATTTGAAAATTTTAACTCAGTTAAATTGATAAAATAAATGAAATATTGCAATGCCGGTAATAAGCTTTAGATTCTTATTAAGGTTTACGGCCGAAAATATATTTGAGGAGGGTTGCCGCCTGTTTGAAAATTTAACTCAATTGCATAATTGATAAAATAAGTGACTTATTAAAATATAGGTAATGAATTAAGGAGGTAAGATGGATGACTGTTGGAAATATTTTTTAGGAGAGTTGCCACCATTTTGAAAATTTGAACTCGAAAGCTTAGTATGTTGCACCAATGTATTTTCAATATGTTTGATTTATTATTATTTATTTATGGATATGTACAAATGTAAAGCGGATACGGACAATGTGTGGTGGCTGACGGTCGTTCCTGGTTGAATACGGGAAAATAAGTACCCGCGCTATTTTGAATAGAATCGAGTTCAACCTCAAAGCAGCAAAACTGTTTGGAGGGGAAGTTAAAAGATTGGCGTGAAAAATTTATGACAGTTTCTAATAAATACATGTAACATGTGTGCGTACATATATATATTATTAAGCATTAAGGTGGAACGTCTTGGATTGATTAAATAAATGAAATATTGCAATGTGGACATCACACTAAAGAGTTTTAAGAAGACTTACAATCGAAAATATGTTTGAGGTACAATATGGGTGCCAAACGAAATGTAAAAAAAAATCTTGATTTGGAAATATTTTTAATAGGGTTATCACCTATCTAAATATGAAATCTTACATAACTGGTTCCAAACGAAAAGTGTTTGGGAAAGCTTTACTAGGGAATTTTTTTAAATCTTTCCACTTATCCAAAATCCGAACAGTTTAAATAAATTAAAAATTTACAGCATCTTATAAAAAGAAGTGATCATATTATCAACGAAGAGCTGGTGCACAAATTACTTTATGTAAAAAATTAATCAACAAGTCATTTTTAAGCAAAAAACACACCGACTCCAATTCTCATATAAAAATTTAATAGTAACGTTAATTTTTTCATGATCCAATGGTCGGATCTAAACCAAATTAGTATGGCCTCACCTGGAAATCGGTTTACGTGGTCCAAAGTTATGCGGTAACATACATAAAAAAATATTCCGACGAATTGATAACCTTCTCCTTTTTTTGAAGTCGGCTAAAAACTACTGAAACAAATAACAAAATGATAAAAGAGTAACGAAAACAAAAAACTATCTCATGAAAGCTGTTTAAAAAATACTTAATGAAAACTTAAATTTGTTGACACCATTCCCAAGCATTATAAATCAGTTAACTTGTATCGTAAACAATTTCGTATATGCTACGTATATTGCGAGTAAAGAAATTTTGAATAACATGAGATAATATTATTACGATTTTGATTATCATTACTATTGTGAAATCCTATTCCCGATCAAGGATTCCTAAATTAAGCGAAAGCAGAAGGGCATTTACGATCGCATGATGCAAATGTTAAGATAATAAGAGCTGCAGAATTGAACCATGTAGGGACATTATTTACAAGGGCGTGTAATTTCTGGCGTGTGCCGATGACACCGACATCATCGGTAACAAAAATCGCGAAGTCTTTTCTGCCTTTTCCAATCTGGATCAGGAAGCAAAGCAAATGCGAGGACAAGACGAAGTATCTCCTATCATAAACAAACAGTCAGCGCATTCGCACATTGGAACCCACGTCACTGTTGACAGTTATAATTTCGTGAAAGGGGAGAATTTCGTTTACTAGGGAACCAGCATTATCACGTATAAAAATATCAGCATGGAAAACCCACGCAGAATCACTCTTAGCGCAGAAGCTTAGACAATGACAACATTCGATGAGGCGGCTCTTGGAGTATTCGGAAGATTTACAGCCTTCTACGCGTGGGCGACGGGGATTACCATAGACGATGGAACGATGAGTTGTATGAGATTTATAACATACAAAGTGCAGCGAATGAAAATACAGCGACTCCGCGGGCTTAGACATGTCGATCCAATAGGAACCGAAGTTCCAGGTGCGAAAGAATCCTACTCGCAATCCGCTGGTGGTAGCAGAGGAATAGGGAGCCCCCACTGCAGTGGAGAGACCAAGTTGACACAGAGAGAAATGACTGGCGTTCTTTGCCGAGCTCGACCAAAATGGCTTAGGCGGTTACAAAGCCAAAGTAGAAGAACAATATGCAAATGATAACTGACGGAGTTGGGGGACCATCTTCCTGGATGAGCCAGGAGGAACGGTTCGATCTAAAAATTACATTACCTTAGCTATCGCTTCGTCTGGAATTGCTGCGACATTGTTAACAGGTGGAAGCATTGCCAAGTTAGCTCTTGAGCTGCTATTGAACATATAAATCATCGAAACTCTCACGTGCAATATTTCGAGAGCATCCGGTATGGAAAAAGTATTACAAAAATTTAAACTTATTGTTTGGGGTGAGTGCACCATAGCACATAAAAATAGCTTCAGGTTCTTGATCGATTGTTGCGAGATTTGCGTGGAAACGTTCAACAATGCGGGAATGCATTGATATTGCTCGCAGGAGATTTTACGCAAACATTATCTGTAGTTTCTAGATTAACACTAGCGGACGAGATAAATGCTTACCTGAAATAGTCAACATTGCGACAAGACGAACATACATACACTGCAACCGAAGTATTCTCGCGACAATTACTGGACAATGGGAACGGAAAGCTGCCAATCAATGAGAGGTAAAGACGAATTTTATGGCCTGATAATTTTTGTAACTTAGAAACATCGAAAGGAGAACTGATCGAAAGAATGTTTCTTTATTAAGAAAATTTGTTATAAGAATCACGATTGGCTCAGTGAACGGGCTACTCTTGCTGCGAAGAATAAGGAGGTCTATCAACTAAATAATAGTGGTATTGACAACAGTCGATGCTTGAGCTGATCTGCTATTTTACCAGACTGCCAGGCCACTTTCTCACTTTGGTGAATACCACTAATGTTATTCAATCCAGCATTCAACGTGAGGAAATGGCATATACGTCGATAAACACTGTTGTGGAAAAAGACCATCCAACGGAATTTTTGAACTCGATTGATCTTCCAGGGAGACCCCACATACTGAAATTGAAAATAGGTGTGACAATTACCATGTTGCGGAATATTAATCAGGTAAAACTTTGCAACGGCATGCGACTCGCATTTAAGAAATTGGTGAAGAAAGTATTGTAGGTAAAGATTTTAACGTGGCCTTTCAAAGGTGAGAATTTCCATGATTCCGACCGATACACCATTTCAATTTAAAAGATTACAATTCCCAATTCGATTGACATTCGGAATCACAATCAGTAATGCTCCAGGTCGAATTTTGGAAAAGTATGGTTTAGATTTAGATGCGAATTGCTTCTCAGATGTTGCGTGTTCCTGTGTCGGCAAACCAGATATCCTTGATATCTATGCAGAGAATGGAAAAACAACAAATATTGTATATGAAACGTATGCTTTGTTTCGTTAATAATTTATCATCCATGTAACAGGAATATGCCACAGCAAAGTGTGGCAGGGTACAGCTAGTTTTTTTTTTAATAATTTTTGGAATTAATCATATCTTTGAAATTACAAAGTCCTTCAAAATAAATCCTGCGGTCAGAGAGAATAAATAAAAACGCCACTTTAAATAAAAAGGTAGGTTTCAAACCCATTTACTTATTATTTATTTCATGGTAGGAGAGCTTCTCAAATAATATAGAAGCCATTTTTTCGACTCAAGTTGTTGAAAAGTAATGAATATCTAAATCCCGGGACTAATCCCGGGATCGGAAAAAGCCGAAAAATTAACATCCGTAATACATTCATATATCCATGCATATGGACGTACATATGTATGGGGCAAATACCCCAGTTTGCCCCGCTTCGAAATGTACATACAATTCTAAAAAAATTAATAAACGAATTATTCATCACTCGCTGTATACTACTTATATATTTTTGAATGTATTTCGAAACTGCCCAACATTAATCGTGGCTTGAATACTTAATGTTACCCCAGTATTACACATTGATTTGATTTTCGTTACAAAGTTAAACAAAGAAAATAAGTATGTTGAAAATAAATACTTCATATTAAACAATAATACATTCGAAAGTGTTTTTAAGTATTTAAGATTGCACCCGGTATGTGGTGATTTTGCCGTTGTCATTGATTGTAGTCTGGGCCCCACGCTGACTCATCTTTTTACCGTTGATATCGGAACTACTCGAAAACGAGCTGACTGAAACGCCCTTAAAGCCGCCAGGCGACGATGGTCCACCAAAGCGGTTACTGATGTTCGGAACATCCTGAAAAATAAGCCAGAGACGTTTTGAATACGCTTTTATTAAGTATGTATTTTTAAAATGCTTACTGGGTTCTCCGGACCGATGTGGGCCGTGTGGTAAGATCCGCCTGGACCGATAGAGGCAGCAGCGATCGCATGGTTAGGAGCGTAGCGATTAGCTGTGTCATATCGGCTGCCACCAATGTTTAAGTTATTGAAGTGGGCCTGTTGTTGGGCAATTTGCTGTTGAATACGGCTGTGGAAGAAGGGTCCAAACTTTAAACGTATGCATGAAGAAATTCAAATAAAATTAAGGATAAATAGCAGGAACATACAAATACAGAAAAAGACAACACTACTACACAATTCACATTAATTACTTATGGTCTGGCAAGAAAGAGGCATCCGCGGTTGCCATAGCTGAACCGGAAGAATACACCGAAGCAATAGCGCTAAGGAAATAAATAGAGCAGAGAACTTTGAGTTGGAAATGTGGTTAGCAAAGCATAGCTATTATAGTCGGGGAGGCGAGCGACAAGGCATTGCAAGCATTTTATAAAAGCTCAATTTTTGATATCGTCGCTGGAATAATGAAATAGTGTAACATGAAAAGTATAGTTTTGAGAAAAACGAATTGGAAGTTTTTATAAACCATTACAAACCATACAAATACAATTTCGTTTTTCGGGAATAAATTAGTGAGCCAAAGAGATATTTAAGAAAACTAAAGATTTTTCTAATAGATTAAAGGATTGTCTATCCAATGGTGCAATTATCGAATAATAGTGTATGTGGCATTTACACTGTTTCTTTATTCGAGCGACGATATTGGCTGCATTTCTTTATTCATTCTGAACGTTTGGAATAAACTTTTTTGTTTACTTATTCTTTAGAACGTTCCTGATGATATGTTAACGTATATTTCAAACGCATTCTGTTTATTCTGCATGTGAAACGGGATTATCTGGAATTTATAAAGAAACGCTGCCATTATATCATATTAGTTCTATAGAGAAATAGCTTCAATTTTGTACAGACCTTGAAATCAGTGATGGAAAATCGAAATTTAAAATTGTGCTAAAATTTTTCCGAAAAAATGTGCCTGAATGCAGGTACCATTTCATTTATAAAATATATTTACAGTACTTATTGCATATAAGAAAAACACTAATCTCATGGAAAACCTTAAATTCATCCTTTCTTTTACGAACAGTACACTTAATAAAAGATAATTTTTTTTATATACCTTTTCATTTATTCATATTCCATATTTTAATAATACGTCTTTAATTTTAAAGTATTTCACTGTTTTAATGAATTATCACAAAAATTATTGGGAAATTATAAATTTCTAAACCGTAACAAAAAGGGTGTGCAAAAAAAGGTGCAGTTGGAATTTTAATGCTCTCCTAATCCTAGGGTGTCTAGGATTGTACTGTATTGAAAAAAATATACCACTATTTTTATTTTGAAATTAAGAAACATTTAGAGGTCGCTTGAAAATAAATATTTTTCGAACGGAAAACTCTGGTCTTGAAGATAGACTTGAAGTAATAATACCCGATTGTTTATTTAACCCTTTTTTAATACTAACGATTTTTTATTGGTCCCCCCATTGCATTTTCTGGGATTTTCGGCGGAAAAATTGTTAAATAAACAATTGGATATTATTATTTGGGAATCTCCTGTAGATAATCAGAGTCTTCCGTTCGAAAAATATTGATTTTTAAGAATTCTATACCATTTCTACGAAAATTTGTTTTTTTGTGAGTAACAGTACACTGAGAAAAAGGATTTGTTTCGACAACTAAAGATATTTAGTTCCCGAATTTTGACAATATTTGGGAACTGTTACCAAGGATTGGGAACTATTACCATCGATTGGTAATTATAACTAAATATATTAAAGCTTCTAATATTCATCTAGGTTGTAACAAATCGTTAATTTAGTTGAAGGGTTTGGTTAATACTAATAAATATTTCTTTGAAGCATATTTCTACAAATTCCATTCAACTTAACGTATGGTTCATAAAAGGATGTTATTAAGCTCTGCTAATGCAGATAAGCTTTCTTTCAACACGTGGTTTAGTCATAGTTACCAAATCTTAGTTGAGGCAACCACGATTTGGTTTGAGAGTGGAACATATTCATGCTTGTGAGCCACCCCTAAA